TGAAAACACGGACACCGCAAATAGGCATTATTTTTTTAAATAAAGTTAACTAAAAGACCGATATTTTACTCTACTAATGCAACTCAATTTACCGCATGGAATTTTGCGAATAAATGCTTTATCCATTTACAAATCATTTTTTTTTATTGATTCTTAGCGACTTATTTTATTAAAAAATTAAATATAACTAAAAATACCAAATAAAAAAATATGTTACGATTAGTCCAGTATCAAGTACTTCGGGACTATGCGAGGTATTACTGTATTTAGTTCTTTCATTATTCCAGTTTCAAGTAGTCCGGGAAATTGGCAGAACCGATTACTCGAACTATGCGAGGTAATTCTTAGTTATTCCATTAACTAGTCCACTATCAGCTAATCCGGGTTATTGGCGGAACTAATTATCCGGACTATGCGAGGTGTTACTGTATTTACTTCTTTCATTAGTCCAGTATCGTATAGGCCGGGATATGGGCAGAACCGCTTACCCGAACTATGCGAGCTATTTCTGTATTTCTGTATTTAGTTTTTTCATTAATTAGTCCACTATAATGTAGTCCAGGTTATTGGTGGAACCGATTACCCGGACTATGTGAGGTATTATTGTATTTAGTTCTTCCATTAATTAGTCCAGGATGTTGGCGAAACCAATTACCCGGACTATGCGAGGTATTACTGTATTTAGTTCTTTCATTAGTTTAGTATCGAAAGTCCGGGATATTGGCAGAACCGATTACCCGGACTATTTAAGGTGTTACTGTATTTTCTTCTTACATTAGTCCAGTACCGACTAGTCCGGGATATTGGCAGAACCGATTACCCGAACTATGCGAGGTATTTCTGTATTTAGTTCTTCCAATAATTAGTCCAGTATCAAGTAGTTCAGGATATTGGCGAAACCGATTACCCGGACTATGCGAGGTATTACTGTATTTCTGTATTTAGTTCTTCCATTAATTAGTCCACTATCAGGTAGTCCAGGTTATTGGCGGAAACGATTACCCGGACTATGCGAGGTATTACTGTATTTAGTTCTTTCATTAGTTCAGTATCGAATATTCCGGGATATTGGCAGAACCGATTATCCGGACTAATCGAGGTGTTACTGTATTTAGTTCTTTCATTAGTCCAGTATCGAATAGTCCGGGATATTGGCAGATCCGATTACTCGAACTATGCGAGGTATTGCTGTGCATATCTCTATTTTATTAATTAACTCCAAGGAAGTAAATGGTATAGGTCACCCATCCACGAAACACCTTGCTTAACTGTGGAAGCTGTAAATTATTAAAAACAGACTTTAGTCTAATAATCAAACATTAGGTTTAACATAATTGTTATTGAATTTCATACTAAAACTGTAATTTATCAATAAGAAACATTGAAAGAAAGATTGAATTAAATTCTCTATATAAATTTTTGTTTATCTAAGTATTAAATAGGATTATATATTTATGCAATTAACACTAATTAGTTTACAGTACAAAATATTATCCTAACAATATTTGGTACAATAAACAATTATTTGTAATAATTATTTATACACAAAGTTCCAATCCAATCCAAAACTACGATCAATTAACTAAATATTTGATGTTAATTATAATATTATTAATTAAATTAACAATACGTTATTATAATAATATTTCAGTTCAAACATTATTATTCTATTGGTTACATAAGTATATGTAATAATAACTAGAAATTAATTGTTTAACACACAAAATCTATTGAGAAGTAAGAGACCAAAAATAAAATTAATTGTTGTAAGAACCCGACAAAACTTCAAAATAATATATCTGGATTTGTTTAAATTTGGAACAGACGCCACCCCAAACGATATATTAAAATGGCATTTATCGAGCTAAATGGTTTTGTGATGTATTTGGAGACGCAGCAGTTCCGAGTCACGGTTATGCAACAGTCATTATTTACATCTGTCAGATTTGCGGATGAGGATGGTGACAGCTATTCTTTTGCTTTTACGGATCTTCAACGTCTGCAAATGAATATGAGGGAGGCGGGGAAATCGATTTTTGGAAGGAATTTCCTTACACATTTTCATACCAATCTTAATATGAAAAAATATGTGAGAAAAATCATATGAGTAATTTATTGACGTAAATATTACAAGGTTATTCTGTTATAAGTTAAATTCTTAATATTTATGTAATCAGGCCTTAAATTAGAACGGAGAAAAATCTGTTTTGTCATTAAATTAGTAACAAAACCATTCGAGTAATAGCAACATCGCATCTTGCTTAACTTTCTTAAGCTTTTTATCATGATGCACATATAATACGGATTCGCTATAATACGGTTTGAAAATATAAACACAAACAAAATTTTAATTAAAAAAATAATAGTATTTAATTAGTTCCTCGATTAGTCCAGATTGAAAAATATACCGGACTATTTCAAACCGGACTAATCGATCGTAGTAATAATGGATCGTGGTAATAATGGATGAAAAATTTAATAATTAACAATCTATTATATTTAACATGTAGATGAAATAGATTAAAACAAAGAAAAAGAAGAACTGGTATTATTGACATGAAGTAGTCGTTAAGAAACAAGTGTTTTCGCATCTATAAATACATGTAAATATATATATATCCGTACAAATAAATATAAAATTGACTTGGATGAATCATAAAGAGACTAAAGACGGAAATAAAATTTAATAAGCTGAACGTTAACCCGAACATGAGACTAATGGATCCATGCAGTTCATCGTTTTATGTTTTTGTAAGTTTCAGCAGGGAAACAAAAAATACTACCTTATTAGAGTTGAACTTCGGATGAGAGAGTATAAGAAAACTTGTTCTCGCTCGCCTAGAGGTTTGGCAAATTGCCTCTTTGATCTTAAATTATATTGGAGATGTTTTAATGGAGATTTCTTTTTCTCATTAAATTATTATTTTTTAATAGTTTTGTAAGTATTTTGCAATCTTATTTCTATCTTCATTCACACTGTTATTTTTATTTAAAATAAATTTATGTTTCATTCCCAATTTTTATAATTTATTAAATGTGCGTATTGTAAATAGACTAAATTTAATGAATTAAATTGTATTAAAGAGTAGATTTAATTATACATAATTACTATTAACTATTAACTTTAACAATTTCTTTTAAAATTATTTGCTGCAAAGTATTTCATCATAAACCTTCAGAAACACTTCAATAACTTTGCTCGTACACATTTCATAATCCTTCTGTAGTAACGAGGTTAACAATTCGATCAACAATGGGCTCTTACAATTACCATTACTATTGTTGAAAATCCTCGTATATTTGTCAGTCATTTTTTTTTTCGAGTTTGATATTGCCTACAGCACATAACACTTCAATCGTTTTATATCACAAACCAATTTATGCTGTAAAATTAAATCACCGTAAATTTTGAGCCCTTTTAGGATTTGAGAACACGACGTTATAACGAATATTTAACACTTTTTAGAGGTTCGAAAAAAAACGCGGTCTATTGTTAAACGGACTTTTAATATACTTTTTGATTGATTAATTATTAACTGCAACAGTTGGGCAATGAACGAGAGGTAAACAAAAAGAAAAATCCTATGGTCAATAGACATGTTTTTTAATTTGATTATATAAATGTCTGTTTAATTGATTATATTTGACTGTTAGAATAAATATCATTATTACATAAGATAATACCAAATATTTATAACTATTGTAAAAGATTATTGACCATAGTTTCGCTTCACTGCATCCCATTAGACTTTTGTGTAATTTGATAAAGTTATCTTTAGCTTGAAGATACATGTGTTTCAATAATGTTAGAAAAGTATATTTATTAAGGCATAATGTCTTCTTTATATCTCAAATTATTGAAGATAATACAACATATTTTCATTAGTAGCCATGAACATAACTTCCTTCACTTAATAACAACCCACGTACGATTCATCACACGTCAAGGCGGATTACAGTGACGTCAATGGTCACCATTTTTTTGTGCAATACCATAGCTTCTAAATAATTGAATTGTGGTTTATGACCATTGGGCATATACAGCAATCGCGTGATATATCTCTTGACCTATATTAAATCTTTGTGTGTGTGTATATGTATGTACATTTGCACGGCGAAGGGAATGCATTTAGAGAAAGAATTGTAGAGTAAGACTAATATTTCATTAGCAGACCAAAATTATTTTTGATACCGTGTTTTCACGGTTTTTGCGGTCCACAGGGCCTGATGGATGAACACGAGGACTTTACACACATACACACATATGTGCGTATATATATGTACACACACACACAGAGACATACACAGTGAACACGTTTTATTTATTGCTCATTTCATTTTGCTCCGTTCGGCGTCGTGCCGTGATGTATGTCCTGCCATGTATTACCGTGTCACCGCAATGGAGGACAGCTTTATTGGCAGGCCTCGACCACTGCGTGGCAGCGAGTTTAAAACCAAATTTATGTGGTGATTTTATTTACTCCATACAATCTGGAGCGCAATTTTACAAAATATGAGATAGAATTCGCTGGCGCCGGTCATTCCCGCAATTATTTCATAATTCAGTCTGGCCAATCGGCAAAAGCGAGGAGTAGCAGCAGCAATAGCGAACCGCATATTGTGTATACATAATGCAGCGGAGATACAAATTAAATTGATTAATGGTAAAGTTGGAGAAGTCGGTCCACGGAAAGGGGATGCTCCTAATGAAAGATCGCGTCCGCAATAAGAGCCGTAAGAGTTTGCTTGGTGGATGGAGGATGAGAGGTTTTGGTTATGCGGGCACATTTGGCTTAACAAAGCGATATTATTAATACCGTGGGTCGGGGCATTAAGACTGTCGAAGTTTCGCTCATTACTCATGCTCTGCGCCGTTTCGGTGGACTCTTTCTTGTATACGGATTTATTTTTATTACCGAAATAATAATAATAATCAGTCTTGATGATGTCGGCAAACGGCCGGAATGAGGTTTTTAAACTTGCACTTCTTCGCTTCGCAGGGACTTGAAAATGGAAAACATCATGCTAAATCAATCCAACGACAAGATTAAAATCGTGGACTTCGGCTTGAGCAACATCTACAACGGGGAGAATCCTTTGAGGACGCACTGCGGGTCTCCAGAGTATGCAGCTCCGGAACTCTTTGTCGAAGGGAAACATTACGGACCAGAAGTCGACCTCTGGAGCTTGTATTACACCTATCAAATATTGCAGCAATTGTAATACACTTTTCTTTTTTTTTATTTGCAGAGGCGTAATTCTGTACGGGATGGTCGTTGGTCAACTGCCTTTTATAAGCTCATCGCGCGACGGAGCCGTAATAACCCCGCAGCAGCGCAGAAAGAAACTGCTCGAGCAAATCAACAAGGGATTATCTAATACCCACAAGAAAGCTTTGGCGTTATTTTCTAGCGAGTTTAAAGCTATGATGGCCAAATTACTAGTGGCCGATTCGTCTAAGAGGATTAATATCACCGAGCTCATATTCCATCCGTGGGTAACGGAGAAGGGCCGCAAAGCCATCCGCTCCAATCCGCTGAAGAAATTGGACGAATCTGCGCAGATGACTGTAAAGACCACCTAGTGTATTATCAGTTTCACGTTATATTTATACCGTTTTTTTTCAGATATTAAAAGAGGTGTCTGAGCTGACGGGTTTGAACTTCTTGGATATTCAGAACGCCGTGAAGTCTGATCATCTGGGAAACATCGCGGGTCTTTACAATTTGCTGGTGCATAGGAGGAAACTAACGCATATGGAAGGGGAGTCGATCGTGACCCCGCATTACACCACTCCAGGAATACAGATTAGCTCGAAACCTATTCTCAACACTCCGCGCATCTCCAAAACCAGATCGACAACGCAAAGACACAACACTTTAAAATCGGCACCGATACAGAAAGGATTAAAGCACGAAATGTCGCCCACACGACGAATCGATATGATACCCTTGAGAGTAGAAAAAAAGCAGCAAGGCGATTTGAAACAAGCCGCGCGGCAGTTGTCCTCGAAGGAAGCAGCCAACGTCAAAGAGCGCAGCGCGAACCTTCGGAGATTGGCGTCTTCTCAAGAAATTAAGCGCATCAAATGCGATTCTCTTACACCCCAGGATCCGACTCTAAGAAGCTCCGGAAGGAAGCGCATTAACGACACCTGCGAGAAGAAAATCGTTCGGCCGATTCCGAAACTCCTCACCAATCTCTCGCCCACACCTAAAGGCGACTCAAAGACTAAATCCACTGAGTATGATCTATATAACGACTTGCTGTATTCCATGTCAATACCCACGAGAAATTCACGAATCAACAGGAAGTCGACGGAGAATGATAGAATTCCATCGTCGAAGCAGCAATTAAGGTAGGCCGGAATGTTTGGTTTCCGCTTCCGCTTCCTTCGCGTTGCCTTCAACTGCTTTTTTATCTCCTCCGTCAACAGAAGGACGACTCGAACGCAAAGCGCCAACGTTTCGCCGGAGAACGCAATAATGAAATCAATCCAGGTGGCTGCAAATCGGAGACCTTTGACTACGGGCCCAACGCATACCGCGGAAAGGGCAGCGAAGCGAAGGAGGTAAATGTCACAACTATTTTACATAAAACATATGAATCGTGATGTTGTAGTATGTTGCCAGTGATGACGAACAGACGCAGCCCAAACAAAGGCGCAGCCACCGCGCCGAGTAATCTTCTGTCTGCGACCCTCCAGAAGGTATCCTCGGACAACGGCCTCTGCGATGACCACAAACATCAGGTCTCTAGTCCAGGTAATCCAGTCCGTCGCTGCAATTAGTCCAATTCGACGTTGCAAGCAAGCAAGCAAGCAAGCGTGCATACTGATTGTATTTCTTAAATTATAGTAAAACGATGTAGACATCGCATGGCATTTTGCAACAAGCCCATTGCGAGATCAATCGCTGATTACGTTGCGAAAAACATATCCAGCAAATTGGAACCGGTAAGGAATTATAATTTCTATACGTATTCGAAAATAATTCGTTTTTCAGTCGAAGTGACTGCGCTTCTATGGATTTCTTCATGTATTTCAAATTCACATGGAAAATATATACAAAACATTCTAGATTTATTCAAAGAGTTGATTTATTAATTATTACATCTCACAACCATTCTTCCTATTTGAATTGTAATCATCTATTAATAGTTAATTCATTGATTTATTACTTACATTAATTACCAAAAATATGTACAAGCATTTGGTAAATTCTAAGAGAAATAAAAATGAAAACCTGTAGTAAGTATTATACATCTAATTCATAAATATTTTAGTTATTTGCAACATTTGTTTTATTAGAATTATAATAATACAATTTTTACTGTTTAAATGTTTGGTACAACCATATTAATAGTTTCACCAGCAAATGCAAATGGATATTTCTTAAATTTTACATTTTTTCACATAAAATCAACATAAACAGAGTTAAGGAAGATATGCTGAACATAATTTGTAGATAATTTAGATATTTCTTGAGAAATATCTAAAAATAACAATAATCATCATCAACTTGTTTACTCATCTAATAATGTATTCTAAATATACATAAATAAACAATATTAAACAAAAATATATATTGAACGCAAGATTATTATATTTGTTATTTAATACATTTCTTGCAATTATTTACTCTGTCATATGTTCCATGATTAACAAAATAGATATTGTTGTTATTATCAAATGCAGTAGTTATTTCAATAATTACCACTAAGAATAATGAAAATAACTTTAAACAATTTATTTGAAGTAAACATTATTTGAAAGCAATAAATTTCATACTTTTAAATAAATAAATTAAATTTACAGTTATTGCCTTCGTATATATTTTTTAACTGTTGTCTCTCATGCCTCGACGATATCAATTACTTAAAATAACTTCCAGGATTAATGTGCTTGCCGATATATCTAAGACTTATCTGTCTCATTAAAAACTATATAGCCACTAATACATTCTTAAATACTAAATTCCCTGCACGTGTTGATCGTTTTTATTTTTAAAGACAGAAACTTCAGTGGAATTTAGATTAGATAACGTGTATGGTGTACACATTTTTACATTTACAGTAAATTAATTGTTAACGAAGTGCGACTGAAATGTTTTGCTTAAATCGTTATAATCTATTTAATTAATTCTACATACACAACAACTACATTGTAATAATGTGTAAACTCTATTGGAATAATAATGTATATCATCTTTTCCGCACTTCGATTTATAACTTCTATTTATTTTCTGATGAGATGCACTAGATTCTGGAGTTATTGTTTATTTTCATTTGAAAGTGGTGTGTGACCGTTGCTGCGTGTTCGATTCGATATTTTAGTGTCTTTGGCCGATAATGTAAACATTTCTCACACAACTTCATAGACTTTATATATTTAGTTTCAAATAAACACATGAAGAAAGTTTAAAAGCAGGGAATAAATAATTATAAGATTTTAATCAATCAAGAAGTAGCAACTTATATCTCAAGTTATTTTCCCTTTTCGAAAATTAGTCTGATTAGCTTGGTAAGCAGGGGGAAGATTTTCTTGGTGATTGAATTTTTGGAAATCAGCGCAGCCCCTTTTCAATTTACACGCGACGTTTCTTTCCCTTCTCACCCTACAAGACCCTAAACTCCTGATTATGTAAGATACATCATTCCGGGGATGTATATTTATCAGGCCCTCATTTGTATTCTCTAATTTATATACGGCCTCTATTGTCCGAGTGATATATTCATTGATTCATGATATATCACCAAATATTTCGTACATTGTTCATTCTATTCATTACTATCTAATGTTTAGTTTATAACGATGATATTTATTATAACATGTAACACAATGGAAAGTGTATCAAAATATGATAATTCCTGAATCACGAATTATCCTACAGGATGCTATGACTTGACAAATCGGGGAAAATTACCCCAAGTGGGTTAATAATGAAATTATTGTGGATAATGAGGACGTTTACCAATTAAATATTATTTTTTGTGTGTTAAAAGCTTCTAACGTTTCACATGATAAGACAGTAAAAAGGTTCAATCTTTTGATTTAGTTTAAAAATTTTAAAATAATTATAATTAATTCCTTTTCTACAAGTTGGGAAATATGTTTATTGTTTAAAATATTTATTGGTAACAATTATCGCCCAAAAGAAAGACCTCTATTCCATCTAGAAATATATTTAATTCCATAAAAAAATTTAATAGAACGATTTTTTATGAAAATCCATTTAAATTAATACATATTTATTAGAAGAACGATGGAAAGTAGATCAGATTATGGTAATTGCTGACAGAAGAATGAACATCCTGTAGAATTATCCATCTTTTGGTGTTCTTCAAAAGTTTTCAAAATAATTATTATAATTCTTTCTTTTTGTACAAGATAGTTAAAATGAACTATTTTATTAAAAATCCTACAAAAGTTATAAAACCTAAAAATAATTCTAAGTTTAACACTAACGAAAACACATATAGTCGTTCTTGAAGAATTATCATTCTAATGCATAAGTCTTCTTTTGATGTACTTTTAAAGTTTTCAAAAATATTATACTAATACATTCTCTTTGTGCAATAAAATGAAAATGTTACATGGGAAATACATTTTATTCCATAAAATTAACTCAGAACTTCTAAAACAGAACTATTTTGTCGAAACTGTAGGAGTTATAAAACGTAAAATGTATTTAGTAAATATTAAATTCTAGGTTTGTCACCAATGTTTTGATACTAACGAAAACAAATCAGCAAAGTTTAGAAGAAAATTTAGTAAAGTACATGTGGAAACCGTTATACACCAAGATGATTTGTGGTATTTTTCCAAGAGTTGATTTTATACACCTGTGATAGAAGGGAAAGTACAGTCGCACCTAAAGAAACGTCTTAAAATTATTCCAAGAAAATAAATGTCTCCCTTTTAATAACAATCGTAAAACCATCTTTAAACAAATAGATTTAGACTTATGTTTACCAAACTTAATTAAAGTGCAAACAAAAACAATAAATCTACGCCTAATTTAATATTGAAATATCTAAAATAAAATAAAATTTGTTTCTCAAAAATAGTTAAATGTGAATCACATCACATAAATTTAATTAAACTCTAATTATTGATTAATTTTTATATAATCATGGTTACATAATTACTTACTTTTATGTAATAATAATATATTACAAATTACACAAAATTACAACGTACATTTTTATTTCATACATTTTTTTTGTCATAAATTTTGTATAAATATCAAAATTGTGCAGAAAAGAACGAAGTATTCATTATAATTTATATATTTTTTCCAAAATAATTCTTATACAGTGGATCCTCTCTTAACGTTCCAAAATTTCCGGATTTTTACTCCTATAGTGAAATCCTGATTTTTCTTACAATTCATTTTGCTCGTTAAGCGAAATGCTCGGTATGCGAGGTGTTCGTTAAGCGAGGTTCCACTGTATATATATTCTTTATATTAAACTAATAAACTGTTTTTTTTTTCATGCCATCAAAATAAAATGTTTTCATTATTCTATATCAGATAAAATAATTGTATAATTTTCCTTTTATAAATTCACCGCAAAAGGAAATCTATTTGCAGGAAGTTCTACAAGATTACAACTATAGTAGCATTTGTGGTAATCAAACATGCCGAATAAAGATAGCGGCACATTTGATGTTTCTTAATTCGCAGTAAATGTTTTATTTTTTTCTGTGTTTTTGTTATTTTCCGGCATTGTGTAATCAGTCATAAAAAAATATTTTTTCCAATTCGTCTGAAACAAAATAGATTAACTATTGTAAAAAAATGTAAAAAAATATATAGTTATGACCAAAGAAATAAACAGTTATGAGAAATAAATAATAAAGACTCATAACCAATTCCAATCTTTATTGAAAGTCACATGAATACATTTTGAAAATCGATATACAATACATAGGAAGACTTTTAATACGTTAATACAACTATAAATTGAACATACACCCTTTGATTATTACATTATTCATAATAGTTAGTTGGTTTAAAGACCTTCGACCTAAGACTAAAGAAAAAAATACTAATGCGTCGATTGTTAAAAATTCACCTATCCTAGATTTAGAATTTTTGATATATCATATTATTATTATTATTATTTTGTAACAGCCAAAAAGTGTAACACATAAATTACACAGTAAATTCCCACTTTCCAATATCCTATATAAAACAAATATATTATCTAGAAGTTACACCCTTTTATCGGACACAATTTTGAAAGACGGACGCAAATTTCTCTCGAACAATCACAATTTAGTTTTACCTTGTATGAAAAATCACTAACCGTTTGATATAACTATGATATAAATTAAATAATAAAACGTGTTCAATATTGGCAACGTTGGTTACGCAATAAATAAAAAAATTATAATATTTCGCAAGAAATGTTGGATTGAATTCAATAAATATATAAAAAATACCCTGTTTGTTAAACTCTCGACTTGAGCAAACTCTACCCTAATTATTTATATATACAGTAAGACCTCGTTTAGTGCTTAGGATGTAGGAACGCACTGAACGAAAAAAAGTTAAACGAAATCACTTTCATATATAGTAAATTTTTCGTTATAATCGAGGAAACGCTAAACGAGGTCTTGCTGTACTCAAATGTAAATATTTGTATCGCCGTTCCTGGACAATTGTTTCAGTGTAGATTTGAGAATACATGATTACAATACTCAAAGGCTATTTTAAATTGGACATGTTTGCAACAAATTATATTACGTGTAGATAGAAAAACTTCGAGTTTGTAGAAATAAGTTATGAAAATAATTATCACATCGTAGGCAAGGTACATACAAATTTGGCAATAATAAATTGTACTTGAAAACTAATATTATAAGTGTAAATAAATATAAAACGACACTAAGTGTATCCGAATTAAGTATGATCATTCTCGTAAATCCAATTAAACATTAATTAAGTTTGATTTTTTTTAAAGATTTTGTAAACATACGGTAAAAATTACAACCCGCTGAGAAGAGCGTGTAAATAATACTGTATTCTGAAATACTACGTTTTTTTTTTCTTTAAATATATATTGCAAGGTGCAGTAACACCGTTTGTCGCCAAAAAAGAAGATCAGATTATGGAGCGAAGTGAAAGAAACCTACCACAATTGATTTAAATGGAATTAAAACTTTGTCGTATACGTTTAAATAAGCGAGGTGGGATGTGCTGAGGACAGTTCGTCGGCTTCAATGTGTAGTTGACACCGTTTCGAACCATACTTCCCGAATCGTTATAACTGAAAACAAGAAACGCTGTGTTAATTAATGCTATGCAAAAATTGGAAAAAATAAATAAGATTTAATTAATCCTTAGCGTTATTTATAATATGTACAACAATAAAACCGTCCACCAAAACAAATAATTTAACACCGAATTTTAAGCAGCTTTGACTCCCCTAAGCGTACAAAACAAAAAACAATATTAGCCAACTGGTCGAAATAAAACAATCTATTCGAGCTAAAAATTTATTAATTAAAATTAATACAAGTAATTTTCTTGATACATTTATTTTAAAAAATAAGAAAATATAGAGATATATATATATAAACGCGATACAAGCTCTTTTAATGTTTCGTACAGTTTCGATGGAAAAATTAAAAGAAATGATTGTTAAAAAAAAAGAATAATTACTCAGGTTTAGTAAATTTAAACATCCCCTCTTTTCGACAGACAAAAAAAATATTATTATTATAAGATATAGAATAAGATAGCGTTCATTGAAACGAATTACGAGTATCGTTTGCAATGCTCCGACGAAGGTGATAAAAGAAGTTATTAATGTAACAAACGTACTAAAACAAGAATGCCATATATACAGAGATGTTAATAGTAATATAATAAATCGCGATTTGTTTTAAGCCATGTTTACTTGACGCTGCTTCATTTACTGTATTACTATTAGATCTTTATTTTTTTTTATAAAAGCGGTTTTTAGTGCCAAGGAAGATCTCTAGGCTGTGAGATAGACCCCAATTTAATATACCTGGCAGTTTGAGTAATGGGAGGAGTTAAAACACCGGTCGAGGATGCAATTGATCCGCGGTGCGCATCGTTAGGGATCACTGCACCGTCTCCTTTCAGGACCGTCACTGGCTTCCAGGAGTTTATGTAGTTCACTGCAAAGAAAGTGATCATTTAATAAGTAGCGCGATTATCAATTTGTTTATGCTTAGATCGCTTACTTTTGAACATGCGGACGCATCCGTCGTCGCCGCTTGTTGCAAGTACTGTTCCGGTGACGTTCCAACTCGCGCGCCAAACCGTGCAAGTGTGATCAGTAAACTGCGCTACAGTTTGAACATCTAACTTTGTTAAACCACTTTGGATGCTAGAATTATCTCTAAAAAAAAAACAAGAATATAATAATCTTGCCATTAAAATATCATCATTATCTTACTTGATGGGTGTTAAATTGATAATCTTAACATCTTTAGTAGCTACAGCTAAAATGTGATAACTTCTACCAAGATTTGGTGCAAATGAAATATCATGCACTGGTTCCATTATGGTAATAATAGTTTCAATCTTCATCCATCTTCTGCTGTTTTCACTATATTCAAAGATGAAGACCTTACCAGTTTGTGCAGTATTGTCATCACTACCAACTGCAATCATTTGTGGATGATTACTGCAAATAAAATAATTATTCACATGAATGGGTGAAGCATATTGATAAATTACTTTGTTAAACTTGGATTCCAACTCAAACAACTGCATGAAAGTTTGCATGTAATTTCATGTTGTAAAGTCCATTGACTCAAGTTCATTACATCTGGTGCTTCATAGATCCTTATAATTCCATCAGCTGAACATGTAGCCAATTGCAAACCTAAACATTTCGGTCCAAACTTGACATCAGTAACTGAAGTCCTTGAATCAACTAAATTTGTTCTTCGAACCCAATGTCTGGTACCCCTCTCGCCAGGTCCAGGAGTTTCTCCAACTAATAAATTAAAAAAGTTTTGTTATTCAATTTATATGCAGATAACAATTTGCTTTATTACTGATTTCCTCCCAAACTGCTGCAGTTCTATCGAAAGAGCATGTTGCAAGGACTTGGCCGAATTCTGGATGGGCCCAAGTCACCTTCCATACAGATCCACTATGAGCTTTCCAACTTGATGTTAGGGTCCACTTTTCGTTTCCTATCTGATCCCAAACCTTGAAAATGACTATGTTTTAGAAACAATTAATGTTGAAGAGATTCAAATTATATACCTTCACGTATTGATCACTGGAACATGTCGCCATACGATTACCATAGAAATCGTACGCCACATCGTGTATCAAATCTTTATGTTCAGCGTTTATTTCTGCTGCCTCAAACATGTTTGTTCCTTTATTAAAACATTAATGGCAAAATAAAGTCTTGGGTTATGTTAGGATTCGATGTGTGCGCATCGCATCGTCGCGGTATTAAAATCAACTATTGCTACTTTGGTTGCCTACTATTTAAAGGAAAATGCGTAATTTTAATTAACGTACATAATGCGTACACTAATTACTGTACGTTAAATGAATGCATGTCATTTTGACGTTGAATTGATTGATTTATGTTCATACTTACGTACATTCTACCGTTAAACCCCGACATCAAAGCATCAGATTTACGAACTCAATTATCAGTTCACATATTTAAATAAGTCTGAAATTATGTTAATTATGTTTTCCTAAAATGATTTAAAGATAATAATATGTGACTAAAACTGAAGTCCATTGTTTGTAAATAACATTTTTGTAAATAAAACGTGATGTTTTATTACATTTAAAGTATTCATAATTATAAACAATTCATTAAACATTATTTATTTCATATACATCTTCAAATTAACTAAACTATAAACTAAAAAGATTATATAAATATAGACCAAACAATATTAGTATTCTTGTAACGGATAAGACTCTACTATTAGAATAATATTTAGTTATAGCAATTGAAAAATATTTGATCGTAGTGAAAAATGCTATTAATATTAATCTCAAATGTAAATGGTAAAATCAGAATACATGTATTTTCAAGAAATTATTTATTTACGCTTAAGAAAGAGTGTTTGAAATAAATTAATAATACATTGGCGGGAATTATCTGTATGTAAAAATTTATGTTAAAAAAAAGAACTTGTAGTAAAAAAAAAGTATAAATACTAATTCTTTTTCATTATATTTAATGGAAACTTATCCAAAAAGCATATTTTACCTCGCTCGCAGTTATCGATGAGTAAGACATGAGCGGTGATTACCATAAATAAATATTTTCAAAATAATTAACTCGATAACTTAAAATTGTAAATAATTGGTTACGAACGGGCATTGATAGCAGAATCCCTCGGCGCACACAATTCAAATGATACAATTGCAATTAGTAAACCTTACGCAAATATTTGAAGACGAAGATTATGGAACGCAATTAAGCAGAGATAAACTGTTGTTACCGAAAACATGTTAATAGTGCTGTGACCAGGAACTGAGACATTTCTCCATTTCGTGCAATTTAAAAGGACTATGCGTATTTGAACTAAATTAGGTAAGCTTTTATACTTCTATAGAATCTCTAATTAAATAAGTTAAAATTTGTAGAACCATGTCTGATTGGAAGTTACCTGAATATACATTACACGTGCCTGCTCAAAACGAGCTGATGGTTGCGCCTAAAAATAAAGAATTCGGAGAAACGCAGAGCAGTGATGACATTTATTTCAATTTAAATAACGTACATAGTGGCGATTTGCAAAAGGTTCTTTGTAACTTAGCGGGTTCAGAAATTCATATAAGCACGGGTTTGCAAAAGATCAAATTTAACAAGCAATACCACAGCTCTGATTATTTGCTGTATAGAGCTTTGGAAGACAGGCGGAATGTAACTCAATCTTTCGAGTATACTAAATCAGATGGTGATACCAATGATACAATTTATAGGTTTGAAGTAGCTTCGAATTCCGGGATTAATAATAACGTGATTATGAGAAAAACGGAAAGGCGGAAACCTATTATGGGAAGAAGCGCTCTTATAGCTAAACATAACAAGCATATGTCTTGTCATGTGGAAGATTCGCGGATTGTGCAAGAGATGGTAACTGAAAGGTTCAACGATGTATTGGATAGTTACTTTCAAAAATGTGCTAGTAAGCAACAGCTCAATTCGCTCAGGAACAACGACGAAGATCCAACATTCGATGAAAATTTGATAAAGCACAGCAGCACCATTGAAGATAATTCACAACCGACGGATGCTTACAGCACGGGTAGTTTGGAAAGATACATGCATAAATCAATAAGTTCATCTTGCTACGAGGATGCGAACGAGGAATTGCTGGAAACCAGAAGCAACGATAGTCAAACTATTTCTAGTATTTCTAGCACCTGCGATACGGATGATGAACAAGCAGAAGTCGATGTCCATGCTGACGATTTTGAATCTGATGATGTCATTAGGATGGGGAGTCTCGATTGTTCTGGTGTTAGCGAATTAACCGTATCTATAAACGTACGATCTATAACAGTGTTCTTCAACCTGCGGTCCTCGGACTGAAGCCAAAGGTTGAAAAATGCTAATCTAATAAGATTTTAATAGTAATACTAATCGTTTTGTTTAATTTTTGTAGACTGATAACAATTCCGTAGGAACCTCGAATGTTTCGACTCTGTTGTCGGAAGCAGCTGACTCTGAGAGCTTTTTAAACACTTCAGATATGCAGGATGAAATTAGCGAGACTTCTATGTCGTTGCACGAAAAGATAAGCAACTTGAGTTTGGAGAGCAACATTCAAAACCAAATTATGATACAAACATCGAAAGCCTTACTTTATTGCAAAAGTATTAAGGAGTTCGCTGCTAGTTTGGAGGAAGTCGAAGCGCATCGCATTCTGCTAATATCAAGTAATTTTGATGATGTTATATAACAACCCATAGTTTAATATCTTATTATGTTACAGCTTTAAAACGAGACTTGATTAACGAAGAACTAAATCGACTCGTGAGCTTGGAAAATGAAGAAGTGAAAGATGACTGCTATGGACACGTTGATATAAGCAATGTATCGGTGTCCATACAAAGTAACGTGAAGAACAACAAAGATCAATGCCAGTGGTATATTTGCGTATTATTTAGTGGATTTGAGGTGCTTTCGACCAAAATTGTTGCTGCGGATGATAGCAATATTATAACATTCAAAGAAAAATTTAGCTTTGAGCATTTGCCAGCAAATTTTGAAGTTAACATCGAAATATTCTCGCTGTCTTTCAAAAATAATGTACGTATTAGCAAAACTTTTGAATAATTTAATATAGTTGTTGTTATTGTTGTAGAGCAAACAAACGCTGTGTATATCTCCGCAGAATCTTCTGAAAGGCAGAAAAAAGTCGAGGAGGACTATAACAGTTGATACATTCCAGACGTCCGCATTCAAGATGATTGGAAAATCCGTGATAACCATAAATAATTTAAAGAATGACGGACAATTTAAGCTGTACAACGCGAGCAGCGCAATTAAAGACACGTTAAGCTTGAGCCTAACAAGTGGGGTTGTGCTAAACGAATCGTTTTGTGGTTTCCTGAACGTCGGAGCGAAGCCAAATAAATTGCTGATTTGGAACCGTCGATGGTGCAAGCTGCAGGGTTCGCGTTTCCTGTCGTTCAACTTTCCGGAACAAATGGAACCGGTCTTGAATATAGACTTGAGCTACTGCGTTAATTCGGTGATAGCCGTTGCCAAACGGCAAATCTGCGCACGGTCAAACACTTTGCTCGTAGAAACCCTGTCCACTGAATCAACATCTGCAGATGGTTCGAATATTCGCAGATACTTTTTGTCCGCAGATAATGTGGATTTGATGAAGAAGTGGGAGGCGAAGCTTAACAATGTACTAATTGCTCTGAGGAATTGGAAATCGATGAATTGCTGATCAATTTCATAGTCAAATACTGTTGATTTCGATCATCTTCATGATGTATATATAATGATTATTATTTTTATATAAAATGACTATGTAAAAAATACCGTACTATGTTCATTGGTAACATATTATTTTTTATTTGTATATTTAGTTCAAATGTCCTTTTATTAAATAAGATACTACCAATATTTAAATTATGTACGTTTCAATTTAACTCAACACTAATAAATTAATTTATATATTTATATAATATACAAACTACATTTGGATATTTGCAAATTATATCCATCATTTTTATTATGAAATAACAACAAAAAGACTAGGTTTCCCAAACAGTATATAAATATCCCTAATTAAGAAAAAATACATTTAACCTTAATCTTAAGTATAATAATTACTTATTGTATACTTACTATATAAATAAGAATTTTAAAGAATAAAAAGTGCTCAACTGCATTTTATATTTTCTTGCAAACTTTTGACAAATAATTAGTCTTTAAATTTAGATAAATAACTTTTGCATACACTTAATGCTATAAAATGCCGATGTACGTTAATCGCAATATAAATGATTACGATTTTCATACGAACGCACATTTGACCGTTGGACACATAATACAAATATAAAAGAAATAGAAAACAGTTTCCGAATGGTTACTTTGATAACATTGTAATTTCCTATAGATATTTGGACGTTAGTTCGGTCCATGGATTGTAATAATAGTTTACGTATTATTATATATATTTTAAAAAGGGTCTATATCGCAAGCCCGACAACCGAAAGACCGTCTATTGAAATCCCGACGTCCGAAATCCCGAGTGTATCGAAATCCCAACATTTGAAATCCCGGCTGTATTAAAATCCCGACGCTTGAAATCCCGACTACCATAATCTCGACTATCAAAATCTCGACTATATCGAAATCCCGACTATATCAAAATCCTGACTATCATAAAAATGTTATTGTAGAAATTTATAATAATGAAAGACGCTGTCGGGATTTCAATATAGTCGGAATTATGGTAGTCGGAATTTCGATATAGTCCGGATTTCGAACGTCGGGATTTTGAGCCAGCCGGGATTTCGCTACACTCGGGATTTCGGTTGTCGGGCTTGCGATTGCCACCGATTAAAAAATTGTACGTTAAGTATAAACAATTACTACTGCAATATAAATCAGGTATATATTTTAATTAAGTTTACGTTAAATTACTAAATTTATTTGTTTATACTTAAGTGTAATTGTTTACATAATGATTTAGATAAAGAAAACAAATTATCTAAAGTTTTAAATTTTATTATATATATATATAGATTTATATAAAAAAAATCAACGAAAATACGTTAAATTCAAATACATAATAAAGTAAAATAATATGTTGAGAAGAATATATAATATTATAATATTAGTGTGTTCTGCTTTGTTAAACTAAACAAATTAAAATCTGTTGTAATGACTGTATAATATTTAGGTAATATTAAAATACAAATACTTTACATTTTTACACAAACGTTTATCTTTTTCTGTATTGATTGAATTGTAGTTATTTTTTTTAAATCTTTTTATTAATCATATCATCCATTGTTACTCTAAATCACTTTTTCCTACGGTTTAAGAATGAACGAAATCATAACAGGAATGTGTGTATTTACACTTATAAATACTTTTAAAGCTAAAGAAGTGTATTCACTGAAAGTCAAATAGAAAATAGTGTGTCAAAGACCGTCGGCTCTTAGGTTGGGGTCATCCTTGTCCACAGGAGGCGGACCAGATACTAATTTATTATTGCTTGGGCCTTGCGTTAAATAACCTGCAGTAGTCGGAGTACCGGCTGCAAATATGTATTTATAATATGTATAATATGCATAATATGTATTTAATTTGAGGATTTGAAATATGTACCTGTTAAATAACCAATGCTTGGGGTGTTGGAGATGAACAGATCGTGCCTTTGATCCTTGTAATCGCACCATACTGAACTTTTGTCCAATAAACTGGTGACTCTATCGCCGTACATTAAGCTGCGACACATCGCCTTTAAGGCTTTCACGATTTGCGCTTTGGTCATCGACGGATTTTCGATGACTTCTAAACGATTGTCCAGAAGCTCGAGCAAGAATTGGACGAAATCCACGTCCAGAGCTTGCTTAACCAATTGATCTTGATTAGCAGAGAACAGCCTGTTCAAAGACTCGCATGCTACAGCTATCATATCTCTGCGAACTTGCATTGCTTGCTTCAATGGATGCATTATTTCCGATTGAGATATGGACGTTATGCAAGTCTGAAAAACATCGATTTTGATGCATATTTCAATCAAATTATTAACTATCACTTACAGTGCTGTAAGAGAGCGAATTCAGAATTTGAATGCCTGCTTTTGGTACCGAAATCTGCCGCACGTTTGAACCTATCTGCTTGCACAACCTAGGAATGTACCCCATCGACGGGATTAGTTCCAATAAAGCTGGTTGCGCTTGAAGCAACAAGCAAAGTGCTTTAGTTGCCATTTCCAGCAAGTCAACCTGAAACAGTTATTGATCATTTCACATTTCCTATAATCAAATCGATAATTACATTCGGTTTATCCTTAGCCATTAGAGTCAAGCAGGTTTCCATGAGTTCCGATAGGAATTCCTTCGGTTTTCGGAGAGTCCAAGCGGGATTCGATATAAATATCCTTACGTATACTCCGGCTACTACAAATTCATTAGGATTGGCCACGTTAGAAACACCATTAATGTCCGGTAATTTCCACAGCATAGTTGGATCTTGCGCTTGCGAAGATTGATGTCTACAAATAATAAATTTTGTTATAAAAAGCGACTTACATACATTACTTGACTCACTCTCTTCGCAGTCTCGCTACAGTAACGCAGACCCTATCTTTGGCGTCTTGATCCCAAATCAATTCTGGATGTTCATTGGCTTGCTCGAACATGTGCACTGAAGTTTCTGGACTATCGCGCATTGCATCAGCGAAAATCGGAGGCAGGAATGAGGATAATGATAATTTCACTTTGGGCCCCACCAATTTATCTGCGATCATTTTCGCAAGCAACGCCGCCGACGATTCCCTTATTTGAAGGACTGCCGAGTTGCAGTACAAATCTAGTAAATAGATAAGGGCGCCTTTGGACAGAGCTTCCTTCACCAATTTTGTAGTGGACATCAACGCGTGTAGAACATCCAAGATCTGCAGTTGAGAGTCCTGCATCGTGTACAGCACGAGCAAAAGGTAACCTAGGACTTCGCTAGCAGCAATATCATTAACGCATTCGTTATTTCTGGTGACTATGGAAATCACATTCAAAGTTTCCTGCTGGATCAGGGCATCCGATACGTTTAACATGTTAAACATCAAATTGAAGTGACCTATGCATTGCATATCCACACCAGAATTGTTCTTCATTAAATTAGCAAGTGCTTTCAAAGCCATCGCGGTATGCTCCAATCGATCCTTAATAGTAACCGAGAAGGCTATATTCACCAAATCCTTAATATACTTGTATTGCTCTTTTAAGAAAGTCAGAATTTCTATGATAAATTCTTTGGGTTTCTACAAAATTACAATTATTTGAATAAAAAAAATAAGTAAATTAAGTAAATATACAACCTCGATTTGGTAAGCCGGCTGTTGATTGTAAATCTTAATAAATATTCCACCAATAACCAGTTCATCTTTGTGGCTAGAGTAGTTGAAGCTAGAATCATCGATGCACAAGTCCGCCTCTTCACGAGCTTGTCTTTGGTTCTCCAAGAATTCTAGCAGTTCAGATCTAGTGGCATTGTTCCACACTAAATATGGGGTTTCACAATTGCTGTTCAGCAACTTCAAAACCTACAACAAATACTTAATGTTGAATCAATATAAGTATAAGTTGGATCATACCTTTTCCGGTGAATCAGAGTTCAATTGATTAGCAAGATAAGGCGTTAAAATTATATTTAAAATATTTCGGGTCACCGGATTCTCTGGTGATTCCAGGTCACCCTTTAGGTATCCCCCGAGACGGGCGCATGCCTTCACGGCTTCCTTGGCAAGACGATTGCTGACTTCCTGCTGATTCTCATTCTCACTCTTCTCGACGCCACCTTCATCCAATGTATAGTCGTAATTGAACATAAATAAGAGAAGATGCCAAAGGGCGCCAGCTTTCAACAGTTGCATCTGCAAAATGGAATCGTGCGCTAAGGCGCTTACGCATTCCGTCGCGACGTAACATAATTTGATTAATTTCTGAAACAATAAATAATTTAGTTGCGTCTTTAAAATATCGTCACTTCAACGTACTTTGAAATAGAGCAATCTGCATAAATCTTTAACAAGCTCTGGCATCTCGATCATCTTTTCTCTGCACGCAGTAAACTGTGCAGCGACGCAGTAGCACTTGGTTATATGTTGAGACACCTCTACGCATGTTTCGTTCGGCTTGGAAGAATTGTTAACAACATCAACGCAACGCGAATAGGCTTCCAATAGAATCTAGAATAAGATTTACTTTAGATTTTAACTTGATTTATACATCCAAAGCACCTCTAATCCATTTTCTCTTCGTAGCTCTTCGGCATTCAATGGAGAACATTGCACTGTGTGGTAGGCAAGTTCAGTAGCAGCTGTCAACAAGGGAGCGCTCTTTGAGAACAACCGATCATCCACAGTCTCGATTTGTATGGTTTTTATTAACTGAGGATAACCAGCATACTTGTACGGTTTCAATTCTGAAAATTCCAATTTGTAACATAAAACACGAATTAAGATAAAAATAATCATACCATCAGAATATCTGCCGAAGAGAATACTTTGAGCTCTTAATACTAATACAATGTTATGCGGATTAGGACCGTCTCTCCAACTACTGCGACTGCACAAGAACTCGTAGGCCTGACTAATTTGCTCGAAGCGTTCCTAAATTAAATCATTATAACTTCAGCAGCAATTATTAATTAATCGATTAAACTTTACCCTTCCGTTCGGATTCTTATCCGGATGGAACTGCGTCGCCAACTTGTAGTAAGCTTTCCTAATAGTTGCTTCTTCCGGAGTTCCTTCCAAACCTAAACATTTGTAAGCCTGATCGACTGTCATAACTGGCGGCTTCTTCTCGACTTCCATTTTCCAAGCCTCTAGCACATCTTTAAGAAGCTTAACCGGTTCCTGTATTGGCCAATTGGGGAATTTACTTATATCGCACAAATGACGTAAATAGAATATGTTGCAGAACAGTTCCCTCTCCAATTGTGGATACCTTATTGCTGGTATTGCTATGTAATTATACCGAGCCATCGTGTTGCTTCGCAATTTCGGCGTAAAATCAGCTATGTGAGCTGCGATCTTCTGAATCAGTAATCTTCTCATCTCCGAATTCCAAATTGCTTCAGGAGTATCGAATTCTCCAAGAAATATTTGCGCAAACTTCTCGGCTCCATGATTTTCTAGATAGTAAATCATAGCCTCTGGAAGTAGATGTCCTAAGATACTTCTCTGCATGATATCGGTAGAAGCCTAAAATCAAACCAATATAATTTTATATTAAAATCAAATTATAATTACACTTACTTCTTCTGCTTTGAACGCCTGCTTCATATGAGTGAGTTGAAGAAATCGTGCAATCGGTAAAACGTTACTCCCTGTATACATCAAAATGAAATAGAATACTCCAGTTCTATAAAGGTTCGTCATCTCCGGATTATCGCGCATTACTTCCGTTAATAAAGTAGCTACTTTTTCTACAAGAATAGGATCGAATGTGAGAAGCAATTGAACAATGTGCGATAGGTTGATCCCTTCCGACAATAACCTTTTTACTTTCGGCAAAGGCCTTATGATCGCATCATCTTGATCCCTGAAAATACAATCATTTCACTATTTGAGATTTCAAATAAAGTTTGATAAGAACGTACCGACTTGGATAATATTCGCACATTTTAATTAATACAGTCAGTATTAATGAAGCGAGGTCACTTTCATTGTAGAAAGGATTATTTGTTGCCATTAGGCACCATTTCAATTGAGGCAATTGAAAGAGCATCCTCCAACCGTCCAAGCCGTATGCCCAGCATTTAGTTTTCTTATTCAGATCACCTTTCGAATATAATTCTTTGATCTGCAATTCAATATAGAAGTAATGCTATGTAAACAATTTGTTAATTAGAAGCATACATCATTAAAACTTAGAGGTCCTTGCCTTCTTGATTCGACCATATAATACCACTCTTTTTCCATTGATGGATCAGCAATGTTACCAGATTCAATTACGTTAGTTTGAGTCCTCATAACTGCTCTGGACGTGTGCAGATGAGCTAAAGTTAGAAGATCAACCATAATTCGAACTCCGCCAGCATCCAACAGCTCACGCACGTTCTTTCTATGCATGATAAGCTTATTTATAAACATAACTAATTTATCGCGTTCCAATTTATCGAAACACTGGAAATAATATAAATTAATTGAATTAATTTAATTTGGAGATATTCTTTTACTTTATCCAACATTCCGATAATGTATTTGGTGTCACTAAAAGGCCCGATATCCTCAAAATATCTTCCGTAAACAATAGCCATAGCTTGTAAGCACATGCACTTCATTTCCACTTTGGTTGTTAGTATGAATCTGTGATAAAGGTCATTGAAAAACTCGTAAGTTTTGCGAATAGGGAAATCGTCGTTGTCATCCATCTCTAGTAATAGGCGTAAATAATAATCGCCTATTTTGACTTCATCTGCTAAACATTGATAGGTCAAATCAAACTCTTGGTGGTTCCAAGCTACAAGAGCCGATCCAGCCAGTTCCCTATCCAAGACGAAGGTCGCTATTTCCTTGTCCAAGGCACTTCGTAATTCTCCCCTAGTCTGGAAAAAAAAAAGAATTCCAGTTCATAAATTACATCCTGCATTTATATGGAAATTCATACTTTATGGTTCCATATTAGGTTTGGCAAGGCGTGATCTTGATTGAATTTCCAATAGAACATCTGCCAGTTGGCTTCGGCCTTGACCCGTTCCCTTCGACGTCTCAACACGATCGGCCTTTCCCTCATTTTTTCTTTCCTCTCAACGACAATTCCTATCTGAGCACCCCAATGCTCCAACTTCTTTTCTACCACCTTCAACTGTTTCTCCATCGCGGCCCAGTTAGGTCCCTTCCTATGCTTGTTCGAATGATCCACAGCAATCTTTAAATTATCCCTGTGATTGAGCATTTCTTGTTCCAAGGCACGATCAGGGACTTTCTCCGCAGAATCTAGGAAAGTGATTAGACCGGTTGGCATAATTCTTCTCAGTAAACCCATTGCAGTTGGATTTCCAGTCACCCATAGACCAATTAAATGACGCGATAATTGTCTATGAGTTAAGAGTCTTCCGTCAGAACCTGATGTGAATAGAGAGGCTAGAAGATGTATAGGAAGAGCGCCTTCCGCAAGCGCCAAGGTTTGCATCCTGGAAGCTACTTCATTTTCACCTTCTTCGATCAAAGCGCGCATTATCAAACCAGCGCCCTTGACTATAGCCATAGATGGATGCTAAAAGTCAGATAGTTATTTGTAGTTTAATACAAATTGCATTTTATTTACTTGGAATAATCTGAAAAGGATTCTTCCGCGATCGGCAACCATTTCAAGCAATGAATCAAAGTGCTTTCCATCGGTAGTCTCGCTGTACGGTACGCAGAGAGAAAATGTCAAGAAATCCAACATTGCAGAAACTACCAAAGTTCCAGTTCCTTGATTCTAATTAATACAATCTCATTAATGTGAATTTAAATAATTGCTTAAACACGTACCACGTGCGTCGTCCACATATTCAGTAAACTTTCAAGGAATGTCTTTGTTGATAGAAGCGAAGACTTATTTAATTGTTCCTGCCTCAACTCGTATCCATCGTGCGTAGGGTGCATTAGCGCGCAGATTACATCAATTGCAGCATGAGTTACTCCATTATCGTTTCTCTTCAAAGCAGTTACTACCTTAATACCAATAGATTCTCGAAATCTAAGAATACATAAATTAAATTTTAAAGAAGCATTACAATAACAACTATTTACCCCGCCAATGATGTGAATGCGGCATATCCAACTTTACTGGCCAGCAATCTCCGTAGAGCCTGGAATTGAGCTTCCAATTCCACAGCTGTAATTGAATGTTGATCTCCTTCCTTTTGCACCAAAGCTTGAAGAGCGCCGGTAATCAATTTTTCCTTATTTTCAGAAAAGATTCCCTGCAAGGATATTGTGTTACATTTCCAATGCATATTGAATTACAACCAATTCTTACATCTTGGGTTACGCTATATCGCAGACCACTGTATGGAGCGTTCGCGTTAAATCGCCTAACGCATTCAGTAAACGTGAGCTTTGGTGGAGGATTTTGAAAGAATTTAATGTGAATGGTCTCAACTTCCTCTTCGATAGGAATACTCAAAGGTCCGAATCTTAAACCTCTTTCCGTTGGAATCATAGTGATATGCACATCCTTATTCCCGCTAGCTCTAACACCATCTAACAAAGAAGCGAGCAAAGAATCCCTGTCCGTTGCGTTGTAAGTTCTGACGTGTCCATTCAGATATTCTATGCTAAACATTTGAGGATTGTCATTATATCGCACTAAAGCAAAGATGTGACAAAGCGGTCGCAGCGTGACCACACTGTAAGTCTGAGGATCTCTTTCGAGGAGACAAGTTTCGGATAAACAGAGAGTTCTTTTCACCGGTTCAGTGTGCCTAGTTTTGTGGATTTTATAAACTGAAAATTCTGATACTGATGTTAAATGATCATCATCGCTGAAAAACCAATAAATTAATAAATTGATTTTTTATTAATTTCATTGGACCAACCTATATAAACCGAATCTCTGACATTGGAAGTCCTCCAAAGTGATGTGATCTTTGGGCACAGTAATTTTGATAGCTAGATTTGCTAGAGCGCTTTCTTGGATCTTCTGCTTTATTTCCTCACAGTTAACAGACTGGAATAAATGCAACCTACTGAACTCTTGGCAAGCCACAACAAAACCACCTGGATAATCAGAAATTACAATGAATCCCACCATATCCTTAAAAAAATAACTGGCTAAGACATGGTTTGTGGTTGGATCCAATTGATCCAATGAATATGGTGTAACTTCTAAGATAACAGGTAAACGAACATCAGACCAGTGATGTTTGTAGGCATTATATCTCTGAAATCAATTTAGCATGAATAAAATATGTTTGCATTAAATATTTAAAGAACACACCAAAATTTCCTTTGGCTTTTCAGAGAATAAATGCCTATATTTTAAAGCTTCTGTCATCAAATAAGACCTCTGCTCTGTAGAGAATTTCATTGTATCAGTTTTGCGATCTTTCTTCATGGTTAATTGTAGTTCAGTAGTGGTGCCTCGGATGGGTGTCACTGATATTATATCACAGTACGCCCATTTATTTGTGACTTCCAAAGTGTTGGGATTGTAGGTTGTGATTCCCATTGTACCAATGGAAAATATACGTTTGTATCTACAAATTTTAACAATCAACAATGCAAATATCTTTAATTAAGTGTAACAACTGTTGATTAATTAATTTGATACAAAAACAATATTAGTGAGTCATAATTTGAATAAGCAATGTTACTGCTGATGTTGTAAAAAGTAATCTTAATTCTGCAGAATAAGCAAGTTTTTAAGAGTATTTACTTACTTTCCTTTCCATGATAATTTTGTGAGAAAAAAACAGGCAACATCTTGGTTGTCTTTGATTGGGATCATTTTGATGTTCAACTAAAACAATCAAGAGTTCATTCAATCCTTACTCACACAGGCCTTGGTTATCTTACTATTGACATTTGTGTTATTGTAAGGTTGTGAGTAATGTTTTATCATGGAGATGCTTATCGGATAGGGGATCTACTCTATGTTTTAAATGTATTTCAATATGGGGACAGGCTGTGGTGGGCGTTTAGTGAGGTGGCTGAGTAGCAGAGAACACTTACAGATTCCAATAAATGATTATATTCAAATAATTAAGGTATCAAAACAATCATTTCAAAAATATGTCAAAACCCATACAAGCACAATCAGCCATTTTGACAGGCCGGGGGCAGAAAAATGAAGGTGTCAGATGTCAGCTGTTTGTCACTTCTTGACATTCCAATAGGAATCTACCTTAACGCAATAAACGGCAAAGAAGGAACCTGTAATTCGTTTACGCGCAGTCTCTTTGCGCAGTTCAGTTTATTATTTCAATTTTCAAATTTATGCATTACATTTTTGTAATTTATAGGGTTAATGAACTAACTTAGGAGAAATCATCAATAAAATTGAGTATAACAAATGTTTATAGATAACTTCTCTTCAGCGAATAATATAAAATACGTATACGTTTTTAATGTATGTATAATCAGTTTATATAGTATGTTACATAGTTCCTCTTAATACGTAATTTTCTATGATATAATAATAATACATGAATTATTTTATATAATATAATATAAAGAAGATACAAAAATAAGTTGATAATTAAATTATTATTGTATATATATTTAAGTTCCGGTGGTAATTGTTTTTTTTTCTTGACAGCTAGAAATTTGAAAATTAAACAATGTTTACAACGTTTCCATTTACTTCGATATATTTCTAGAAAAATTAGTATCTTATATTTAATATTTAACATAACATTACACTACGTGTTACGCTCAAATAAACATATGAAATATTTACACATTCATTATTTACATATACATAAAATGGAGAGTAGTGCATAGTGTATATATTTATTGTGTGAAACAAATAATTACTAATTCATTAAAATACAGGATATTTACATAAATATGGGGGCTCAGAGTACATTTAGTTATGTTTTGTAATTATATGCATTTTATTATTCATCAATAAAATGAAGAAAGAAAAACAAAATTAACAAGAAAAAATAGTGAATGAAGAACAAAAATGGTGCGAGTGATTACATTTTTTTTTGTCTTTCATTCCAGTTTTGTGATTCAAACAAATAACAAAAGATATGTTTTTCTGAATATTTCAAATGTAATAACTGTATGATAGGTATGAATAAATAAAAATGCAGAAATTACAAGAGGTTTCATCTGATGTGTTTTATTATGAAGACAGATATACTATATACAAGGGTGCAGTGGAGCGAGAGAGCTAATGATGCCGTGTTCTTATTTCCATGTTGCATTGCAGCCGGGTGTTCACCTGTAAACGAAATACATTATTATAAATATATAACATCAGACACAGACGTAATTTATTTTATAATAAATTAATAAAATTGAATAAGAAAAACCATTGATGATATACATGTGTTTAAGCGATACTAACATAAAATCTGATACAAAAGTTGGTAGGTTCGAATTTCACCAATATAAAATATTGGCTGAAATAGGGCCAAGAGATTTATATTAATGGAAATTGTTATAAATCTCTTAACAAATACTAATATTAAAGATTATTATGTAATTAAACCAATAATTTCTATAGGAATGTCTTGAGTTTTTAATAATTCAAGCATTAGATGTATATTAAGAAGCGAAAGATTTAAAATGTTAAACATTAATCATGTCCTTATTTAAAAAAACAATATTATAAGTTTTCTGAAGTAATGTGATGAGTTTCTGAATAATTCAAGCATTAGCTGTGGACTGAGAAGTGAAATATTTAAAACGTTAATCATTAATTATGTCTTTATTAGAAAACCAATATTATAGGTTTTCTGTCGGAATATGATGAATTTCCCAATAATTCAAGCATTAGATGTGGACTGAGATACGAAACATTCAAAATTTATCATTTTCTATTCTCATTAATTTATTAATAAAAAATTACTAATATCTTAAATGCTTGAAAATTATTTCAAATACACTTATTGCGAATTAAAAAAAATAACTTAACTTACTCTTCAGAAATATATATTTTCTTCTACTGAATTATATAATTAATAAAATGGTCTGAAAACCCACTGATAGTTAATCAAATATTGTTAATATTTCTATGCTAAAATGTATATTTTCCATAGTTGTAAACAAATTTTTGCATTATTATTTATAGCTTACGAATAATTATAGATTGAATAATAAATGTTGAAGTTATTATTTCATATAAATCATTTAAAGTGCTTTCAATGGATTTAGTTTTGTATTTGTATAGAAATTAAAATATTTGTATAGAAATTAATATATTTTTTTATATCAACACTTTATATTTGATTGCTGAATATAATTAATTTTCATTTAGTTATTTTTTTTATTGATTTGATAAAATTTATTATGAAACAATATGTTTTTCTTACTGAGTAGTTTATAAATATTTGATATAAATTCTTTTGTTGATTTAAAAAAAAAGATATAGGAAAAGAGAATCACATATTTACTCTTCGTATTTCTTCAAACTGAAAATTGTCATCAGTAACAGAAATTTTCAATTGTTTCATTAGAGATTCAACTGTTGAAGAGACGTATCATATTCTGAGTTGTGTTTTAAAATAATCCAATTTGTATTGGATTTCTTCAAAATTGTTAATTCGAACCTCTAGTTAATAAAAATAAAACTAGAGATACAAATTCATCATAAAATCTAACTTTAATTCATCTCGTTGAAATGTTATCTATTCAATATTTAATTATTATTCTTGCAATTACATTATTGCAATAGTGTGACGTTGGGATATGAATTGGGATATGAATTGGAATATGAAGAATTGGGATATGAATTCATCGTTCAACAAAAAACCTATACCATTTCATGTATTTCATGTGAATTATTGGAAACATAAGACTAATGTTTTTTTGCATTTCTGTTCTAATTTAATTATTTTTTTCATCTATGGGTGTAATTAAACGACATAAAATATCTATTATATAACGTATTATATAATTGTTGCTGAGATTTTTTTCCAAATTATTTTTCATTGATTATCAGTGTTCATAGGTTTACCTAATAGATAAATGTAAAAAGCAGAGTTGAAGATTAAATCTCAATCAGTTTTTGCTATATTAATCGATTTTTAATTTTTACTCTTATTGGATCTTATTTATATAATATTTAGAAAAAGAAATAATTAATTAATTCTACTAATTAATATTAGGAATTAAAATATACAATTAATAATATAGACCTTTGAAAAATTATGGTGGCAATCGACAACCGAAATACCGTCAATCAAATTCCCGTCGTACGAAATCCCGACGTTTGAAATCCCGACTGTATCGAAATCCCGACGTTCGAAATCCCGACTGTATCGAAATTCCGACAACCATAATCCCGATATAGTCAGGATTATGTTTGTTGGGATTATGGTTTTCGAGATTCTGATACAGTCGGGATTATGGTTGTCGAGATTTTGATATAGTCGGGATTTCGATACAGACGGGATTTCGAACGTCGGGATTTCAATAGACGGTCTTTCGGTTGTCGGGCTTGCGATATAGACCCGAAAAATTATAGAACTCTTACGTTTTTTTGTAAATTTGGTGAAAAATTTAATAATCAATGGTTTTTCTTTGAAATTTTATTAAGAAAAAACTATATTTCAAAAAGATATTTGTGACTACGACTGGAAAAGTGGTACATGAAATTTAGAAGTTTAAGAATTCCTATTTTATTTGAACTTCAATTAATTTTAAAATTTTCATGGACAGTTGTAGTCATATTACAATGACTTAGGCTTATAATGAGAAATTTTGGTTTGTTCTTATTAGTTTTATCAATGTAAATAATTGCAAATGATTATTTTTGAATGGTTCGTTTATAATCAGATTATCCAATTCTTTCCTAATCAAAAAAGAGATATAATGCAGTTGTTAATACGGTGTAAATGTAAGTATGTATACGTAGTTTTACCTTAATTGGCACTGAATTATAATGATAACCTTAGCACAAATTGCCAATTAGGAGAGCAGCGAACGAACTAATGTAAATACGAAAAGGAACGCACCGTTAATGACATGTACGTTGACGCTTGCAGGTGCAGCAATTGTAGGTACACAAGAGTAATTCCCAGAATCGACCAATTTAGCACTAGAGATGTGAAGCCTTGATGTCAAACCGTCAGTCCAAAAACTCTGTAAACAGAAAAAAACATAAATAAAGACATGTACAATAAAAAAACTTATTAAACGCTTGTTAAGTGGCTGAAATTCTTAATATAATTAAACATTACTGTAATTAAATATTTTTTTTCATTTTAAGTATCTAAAACCGTTTTTTTAAATTTTATATAACCGGTTTTGGAGTTTGTCATATTTAACCAAGAAAAGCGGTTATCGATTTTTTTTTCAATTTTATTATTGGTTTTCAAATATATTTTCTTTATTCTTCTAATTTGAAACGTTTTTTCTTTTCAATAAACTCTGAAAATCAGAGAAATATATAAATAATTGCGTGTACAATAAAGAAATACTGTTATTAAACGTTTAAAGATAAAATGAGCGTTAAGTGGCTGAAATTGTATTTCTATAAAAGTGCAATAAACTTTCCCCATATATTTAGACAGTACACATATTGCTTTTTATATGAGTTTCCGCACGAAGCGTTTAAATCATTTGCGGTTAAAAAAAAAAAAACGAGCGTCACAGCAGCAACAACAATAACAACAGTGTTATAAAAGCGCTCGGCGCGAATTTAATTAATGATTGGAATATAATAGATTTTGCACGGTTGCGTCACGTTCAAGTCTAGCGTTGGCATGCAATTAAATGCACATTCATAAACATATATTCCCGTACAATTCATGAATACTTGAATTTCAACTACTAACTAGTTTTTAGAGGAAACTTGATTAATGATGTGAGACCTCAAAGAAATGCTCTCATATGCGTATAATTAATTCTAGGCTTTATACAAAAAAAAACGATTTTCTGATTTAAGTATTTACAAAATTTATTATTTTTGTATAAATTTTGTAAATACTTAAATCAGAAAATCGTTTTTTTTTTGTATAAAGCCTAGAATTAAACTACTTAAAAAAAATAAGTTTTTAATACATTTGAAGTAAAAAATATAAACAAATATTACTTATTTACAAAATTTGTGTCAAAAAACTTTGTTAATCGATTATCTGATTTTCTAAAAAAAAAACTTGAGTGATTATTATAAATTGAAACAAAAAAAAAACCGATAGACAAATTTTACTAATTAGTCAAAAGAAGAAAGGGTTTTTAAAAACAAGCAAATCCTAATATGCGTATAATTTGGTTGAAGGAGTGGAGCAAAGGGTGAGAGTCGAGGTTGGAATAATTGATATTTACCTGAATAGTGATCCGTGGGGAAAGTTCGGCTTCGTTGGGATGCGGGGTAGACACCTCGATGATATCGGGTCCTTTATACCAGAAAACAGTGCTCAGATCGTGCGGTCCTTGGTTGATGATGCAAGTGAGGGTCACGGAGCTTCCAGCTTTAACATGCAAATCGGTGGGTCCCAGGATTCTGGCTTTGGATTCTGAAACACGAAAGTTCGTCAGACGTGAGCACGCATCAACGAGATGAATTTAATATAACATTAGTCACAATTTATGTTCGTTTCATTTTTTTAAAAATATATATATATAACAACGAAAAAAGAATAAGGGAGCGCCATTGAATACGTGCATGAAAGGCTCGCAGAATAAATCCCGAGGTGGGAAATATCATGTGCGGATTTCTTCCAATCCTCACATTTGAGGATACTTCTACTCGTGACCACCGATAGCTTGTAATTTACGAGCACGATCTCACTTCCCTGGAGAGACACTGGAAGGAATCTGCTTTTGAAAAAGCTTCGGCTAATTTTACGATCCGAGGAGGATAGCCGTCGCTGCGAAAGAGGTGAAGAAATAAATCCCATGGATTGCGATTGCATTTGTAATAATAATAATAATAATCAGATAGTATTATTGCTCTACTACTACTACCACCACCACCAGTATATGGTTTTCAATAAAGTCCGGCTTCACGAATATTGGTTATATATTGATCTGGTGTGTCGCATTTTGCAGGAACGCTTCCATCCATGCACGCCCATGTTGTTGTCCGACTAAAACAGATCCTACATCAGGCAGGCACAATATACCAGATTAATTCCGGATTTCCGATGAAATTAAGTTTCCTGATTGCTTCCTCGCCGAAGACAAACATTTTAATTGAATATTTCACATGCCGCTTATTTGATCCATACACCAAAATTAATTCACCAAATATGCGAATTAATATTACAATATAAACTATAATAAATTTTACTCAATATTCGTAAACTCAACTATAGCTAAAAATATTATTTAATATTAATCTATAATTCTATAAAAACGTATAACTCAGGGGTACGCAACTTTTCTGAAGCATAGAGCCAGTTTTAAAAAGTGTCTATTCGCTATTTTTACTACTGAAATGAATTTTCCAACATAGACAACTGTAAGAGCCAGGAGCCAAAGTATAATTTTTATTAGATCTTCTAATATTAATAGAAGTGATTAAAATTTGATTAAGATTTTCTATAAAAAATGATAGTAAAATATTAATATAAATCGATTCACTTTGCATAAACGTTACTGTCTTTTCGAATTTAAATCTTAATTTGCAGATATTACGAAAAAAAACTATATTTACTGTATAATTTGTAACTACTTATAACCTTGAGATTATTTGCAAAGTTATATAATACAGTAACACTCTGTTTAGTACTTTCTCCGTCGCGGTCTACTCGAAACCTAAAAAAGTTCTAAATGTATGTCTTTACTATAGTAAAAATTCGATAAATGCAACTCATATAAAAGCTACATTTCTATTAGTAACGTATGGTATTTAATATATCTTATGTCAAATGGTTATAATTTCGTATCCTAACCTTTCTTTTGACATAGAATCAAGTTTCTTGCGATTATCAAATTTGTACTGTATATGTTAAAGTGATCTATATTATTAATGTTAAAGCATTAGACAAGCTCTTAGTTTCTTATAGTTATTAAACATAAGTATTATAAAAATGTGTTATTATTATTAATTGTTCAATACTTAAATTTATTATAATCTTTTTATATGCAAGATTCTTATGAAGGTTTATGTGATAGGAATGTTTAAGGGCACTTATTACATAAATCTTCCTTTATTTTTTTCGTCATTTTTACACACCGAAAATCAGAAATTGGTGACTCATTCATGATAATTTGAAGTGTTCAATGTGTATAGATGAGGTTAGCAATGCGAGAGAGTCGAATGAAATATAAAGAGAAGAGGGACGATTGGTTGAGATGTAATCAGAGTCTTCTATCCTTGATTTGGAGAAACTGGGCACCATAAAAACATCATAAGACTCAACGAAATTGGGACTGCCGAAATTGTGGAGTGACACAAGTCAAATGACGGTTGAAGGAGAAGAGATAGATGAAGAATGTATTATGTATTCAATGAACTTAATTTGAATCAAACAATAAATTCATTTGTTTTATTACCTTTTCAGAGTAATCAAAATGATGGATTTAATTTAAATATAATTATAATAAAGTTGGAATGTGTTATAGTTTTAATGGTATTAGGAGAATGTAATTATATCTTGAGCTGCGTAAAGTAATATAGTTTTACTTAGTAATTTAAGAAGTTTGTTAACTTACCAATGACGTTGAGCCGAAATGGTAAAGACATCTTAGGTTCAGTGTTGACCTGACATTCGTAAACTCCGGAATCCCGTAGCTGCGGGAATTTGATTTGTAAAGTCCAGTTGTCCGATTTGTCCGGCCGGATCACCTGGAATCGTTGGTCTGAGGTGTACGTGAGGATGCCGGCCGTTAAGATGTGAAGGTCCCTCTTGCGAATCCAGGATACCTGCGGGAGAGAATCATAACCTTAATATCCGGAATATTATATGGCGGAGGACGTGCCTTTACGTTCCATGGTCTACCATGAAATATTAACGGCGGCAGTAAGTTACTGCCTTAATACATTTGTGTTCCGAGAACACTGGCGATCCCTTCATGCGAAATTCATAAAGGGACATTAATTACATTCCTTGCAATTATTCCATTAGGTTTCGCGGCCGCTCAATTTTTTCTAGATGTACGCATTTACTAACAAACAAATAAACAACAACAAAATAGGGAAGAGCGAAACGATATTTATTGCAACCCTAGGATAGTTTGCAACATGTGTTCTTGCATAATGAGCTTAATGATTTATTCGAAAAAGTGGCGCACTTTAGATGCCGCGAGCATGTGTGTGGTGTGGGTACAATAATTTACAAAAACTTCTGTGTAACGCAGAAAGCTTGTGAAATATAGGTGATGTAAATCACGTTTATGCCGCACAGTTGCATATGCATTTCCTAAATATTAGGGCCCAGATAAGTTTACCAGCGCTAACGCATTTTATTTTATTCGGGTGATTGATCACGCGCCTTTTACTTATTTGCGCAAACCACTATTTATGGCAAATACTTTACACTAGTATTTTCACACTGTACACATACACAAATATAAAAGCGCTAATATTTATGTTGTCTAATTGTCACCAGTTGGTTATTCTCTATGACAAAATATACAACTTATGACACTCAGATGTTTTATTTTAACGTAGAAAATATCATTTTGAAAAATGTATATTCTGTTAAATTATTTAATTAAATTTAATTAATTCCTGTAAAATATCTCACAACTACGTCATATGTAACAAAAATAGGGAAGAGTTGTCAAATTTGGACCAAAAAATACTAAGTAATTTTGTGATTTAAAAATCTGTTCAATTTTATTTAAAATAAATAGTGAAATTAAGTCTGAAATTTACTTACATCCCACCAAATTCTTAGCATAATGTCATATGTATATAATCATGTTACAAAAGTAGGGGAAAGTTGCCGAATTTGGACCAAAAATCAAATGGTACGTAATTTTGTAATTTATTTAAAATTAAACTAAGAATATCAAATTAATTTCTAAGAACTACTTTATCTTAAATTATATTTAAAACAAATATTGAAATTAAGTCAATGGTCCATTCTGGGAAACCTTAACAATTTTCGCAATTTTTAATTTAGTTTTGGAAGAAATCATGTTGGGAATCCAGGAGATCTGGAATATAGTAGAGGTATATATCAAATCCATCATGACAATCAAGGAGAAAGAAAAGAGCGAGTTTCAGAATATTCAAGAAAAAGTAGCGAGAATGGAGACATTGAGCTAGTGACTCAAGAAGAAGATTTAAAATATTACTACAAGCTTGTTATGCGTATTTCTCATATTCAAGTCCAGGTATCAAAATGATAATGTTATAATTGTTAAAAAAAAGTTATTAAACTGTTTAATCAGAATAAAATTAAAAAAAGAATACCTCAAGGTTTTTGTAATTTAATAAGTGAGAAACGTATTTTAATAAATCTTTTCGATTTTACCAAATATCAATGGCAAAAGAAGCCCAAAATATAAGATCTATAAATAAATTTCTGTAAATTTATAAAAATGTTCTTAATTTATTTAAATTATGAAGATCAACTTGATTGCAAAATAATAATTATAAACTGCGGCGAGATTTAATTTTAAAACATTCCAAGTGCTTTACGGATATCTTGTACGGAATAGATTTTGGAAAGTGATTATGCAAATGCCTGCTGAATCTATGCGGCATGATCTTATTGTAATCGCATTTCCGTGCAACCGACTTGGAATTAATGAATTTTGAAATCTTCCAGAAACGATCTTAAGAAAATCTTGATAATCTTAATAGATATCTGCTCAAAAAAAGTTGTTATTATGTATTTTTAATATATACTTAAGATTTGGTTCTAAAATATAAGATATATAAAAATTAAACATAATATTATAAAAATTATTTATTTTACATAATAATATTAATAACAAAACAAATACGTTTTTATAGTTTTTTTGTTGCTCAAATAATCAATTATAAAGTAATTGTTTTATATTATTGTATAAGGTAGAAACAAACAATAAGTTAGTTTTTAAGGAAAATATAAAGGCCTTTATGTTTAGTAAAAATTATCCTTACAAATATTGCTATTAATATAACATGTCATGTATTTCATAATCAATTTAGTAGTTTATGAATTTAATATATATGATTGTTACACACATCTGTTGCAGATTGCAAATAAAAAATAAAACTTAAAAAATATATAGGATTTCATAACTTTGGACAAATATAATAAAAATATGATAATTTTCTGAAATATATAGATTGATAGAAAGTTTTTGAGTACTTTTTTGGTTTTATTATATTTTTTACTATATAGTTTTCTTTGAGATTCAAATACGTTTGAATAACTTTTTACATTCAGTGAGAAAAGTGTACATTATTCAAAAATTCTTCAGTATTCGATGGAAATATATTTCTTGTCAACTCGGAATGGGGTCACAATTGTTTACATTTGCTATGGTGCATTGTCCTGAAAGAACAGTACAATTTTCTATATCAAATGAAGTTTTCTTAACTATGATTTTGTAAACTTTTGAATTTATTTAAAATTAAAGACGTAAATAAGTAATTTCTTAAGAAGTTATATAAATTTGTTATAATTAAAGAGAACAAACTTTATATTCTTTTACTTATATTATATTAAAACTATAGAGTAAAAAATAACGTTTAATATTTATTCAATTTATCATCTGTGAACAGTAGCTGTCGTGCACATATATATTTACCATGCAGTTAAAGTACATTTTTATTTTTCTGTTATTTTTGAGCTGCCCCGGTTTTCGCTAACATAACGTGTGCTTGCAACTGAAAATCGATACACATTTTAATGTGCAGAAAGCATAGAAGAAGATGAAAAAATGAAATAAAAGTGTGTAACAAAAGGTTTTCCAACGTAAGTTATTCCTATCATCGTGTAATCAATTTGCCGCCTTTGCAAAGAAAAAAAGCCCAAAATATAAATATGCCGATATACGCATATGCACGGCAATATAGAAAATTGATGTGAAAAGGATGCCGCGTAAATTATTTTAAACATCAATATTTCGCGCAATAAAACACGCGTTGGTGATTGAATATTTATGAAGCCCATCGGTATTCCGAAATTGTTCTTAGATATTATCAATCTATATATATTCTTTATACACCTCAAGCGAATTCTCGCCTAGGCAAGGGTAAGTGAATTGACTATTTTCATCCACGAAGTGGACCTGTTCAGAAATACCTATTTGCCCTCTGACAGCAAAAAGTAATCTTTGCTGTATTCATTTTATTTTCTAACGTATTTTCATAATAAATATTTATATATACTTTTTTATCAATTAGTTTAAATACGATTAATTGATATTTGAAGCATATATAAATGAGATATTCATGATTATAGTTGATCTATTAGGTGACAATATTTTTGCAACAATGTATAACTATTTTTTGTCATATTTATTTGCAATCTGCATATTTATCAATATTTAGCATTAGAAATTTGCTGCCTAAATTTAAATTGTAGATCCAAGTCCTTAAAACAATATTATTGCATCTGAAATTCTTCTACATTTAGTTTGGATTATGAGTTAGCAATTCCTTGTGTCCAGATGTGGTTTTTCCTTGTGTCCATATGCATACCCATGTGTCTCACCCTTGAAGATGTTGGTACTACTTTATTGTTGAATATGACTGGAGGATATGAGATGTGGTTCTTCCTTGTGGTCTGATGTGGTTCTTGCGTCCATATGCATAGCTGTTTATCTCACCCGTAAGGTTGACACTACTTTGTTATTGAATCTGACTGGAGAAAATGATGTCCAGATGCGGTGTTTCCTTGTCTCCATATGCATACCTATGTGTCTCACCCTTGAAGATGTTGGCACTACTTTATTGTTGAATATGACTGGAGGACATCAGATGTGGTTCTTCCTTATGTCGAATTGTGGTTCTTCCAGACCTGATGCGGTTCTTGCGTCCATATGCATACCCGTTTATCTCACTCACTCACTACTTTGTTGTTGAATCTTACTGGAGAACATGATGTCCGGATGTGGTTCTTCGTTGTGTCCAGATGTGGTGCTTCCTTGTATCCATATGCATACCCATGTGTCTCACCCTTGAAAATATTGGCACTACTTTATTGTGGAATCTGACTGGAGGACATGAGATGTGGTTCTTCCGTGTGTCCTAATGTGGTTCTTCCTTTTGTCCATATGCATACCTATGTATCTCACCCTTAAAGACACTGGAGGACAAGAGATAAAGGTAACACGCATCGATTTTGACAGATTTATACAAATTCGCCATATCCTAAACCATTTTTCAAGCAGATTAAGCTCCTCTTGAAGCAGTTTAGATATCTAATACCATTATTGAGATGTCAGCTACAAATATTGGCATGTTTATATTGTGTGTTGTTGGAAAAGAATCTCTAAATATAACGTACTTTTGTTTTAATTTATTTAATTTATTTTATTTATTGTTTTAATAAAAATAAGAAAATATATTACAATTAACATTCGGACACATATTTAGTCATTAATTTATTTCAGAATGAATATTTTTATTGTTAGTCTCTTATAAGAAAAATACTTTAAATAAAATAGATATTTTTAAATTACTGTTAATATCATTTTTATTGTCAATTCGTTTTAAACGTGTCCCAGTTTTTATTGTAATCTGAACTAAAAGGATTTTATTTAAAAGGACATTGCATTTTTCGTTCGCACAATTTCATAATCTCCGTCATATCTCAGCCACTTAAACACACTTCTATAGCTATTTGATGCGACGTCTCTCGTATTATATAACCGACTGATATTGTTCTGGAAGTAATGTAGTGAATTTTATTATATTTTATTTGCCATTAAAGGGGGAAGCATTATGTGCGGAAAAAGCGGACGACATTCCGCATACTA